CATGAGTCACTCAAGCATTTAACCATAAAGGGACAAAGCATTTATCAGCATACAGCAATCAGTATTTTACCAAATGTGGGGAGGGGTAGGTGGGAAGGCGTACATCAGCAATTAACCCTATGCAATCTTTAACTTCACAATCCCTAGGGGCAAGTAGGACAAGGAAATACCACCTGCTTCCTGCTCCAGATCCCGTGACCCTGTGGTTAGCACAAAGGGCCATTCTTTCTGTAAGATTTCCTGTTTGCCCAGGGGCTAGACCTGCCATAAGTCACGTATGTAGTCTAGTGGGATTTTTCCACCGAGGCAAAGGCTAAGGTTGAGGGCAGCCATCTTATGCAGGTCCAAGCAGTCTCTCACACTCTACCACTGAGCCAGACCCTGGCACTGAAATACACGGTTTGGACAACATTTGAGCAGAGACTTGAATGAAGTAAGGAGTGATTCATGCAGATAAAGGGAAGAACATTCTAGGCCAAGTTATGGAATAGTAAAACTCCACTAGAGTGAAGTATGCTGGGCATGTAGAGGCACAGGGAGGAGGCCTGTGTAGCTGGAGTAGAATGAATGGGGGCGGAGAATTATTGGTCTGGCTGGGAGCTGCACCAGCCTATGCTAAGAAATGTAAGCATCAGGGCAAAGTGTCTGGTTTTATCTTGCGTGAGTTGGAAGCTATTGGAGGGCTCTGAGCAGAGGGCTGAGAAAATGCTTTTTCTTAGATGGAAAGTCTGGCAATATGGACAATAGGAGTTCCTTGTCATTGCTGCCTTTGACAGGGTGCAGCAGGGCAGGTGGTGACCACTGGTGGTCATTGGGATTCGTTCGTGGATTAGATGTCATATCCTGAGACAGGGAACACTGGTGTAGAGTGTGTTCAGGAGGGGACAATTAACAACAATTGGGTTTTGCTAACCCAATTGAGACACCAAGTAAGATAATGACATAGAGATAGGATCTGCAAGTCATGCGTGTAGAGATGGTGTCTAAAGCCAAATTATTGAATTGTCCCCAGTGGTGGGTGTAGGTTAGCAAAGAAGCTTGAGGCCTGAGGTCTGGGGTGTGTCCTTGTCCGGAGTGGGAACAGCTGGAGGGTTGGTGAAGGAGACTGAGCTGGTCAGTGAGCAAATTAGAAGGAAAACTAGGACAGTGTCACACCCTAGACTCACCAAGGTGAAGCTCCCTGTGAGCAGATTTCATGGAGTGGGTGATTCGCTTTTTGTTTTCTATTCACATATATACCTTTTTGTGGTTTAAAAAAATATGATCAGGGTTATATTAACTCAAAAATGAACTTAAATGTGTTAAAGTACAAGGAAAAAAGATAGCCGATTGTGAAATTTAGAGAAAAATAGAAGAAAACCAGACTTTCTAAATGACAGAATTGAACACCTACATTTTAATTAATTATTAGAATATTATGTCACAAACAGTTTTGATGGTAATGTCTTCATGTAGTTGCAAAGGATGTGGCCAGACAAAAGAAATACCATCTAGCGAAGACGGCTGGATATGCTGAACTCACAGTCTCTTACTTTAGTGAAAAGGTAAGGTGTGCCGCAAGTCTGGTGGTGGGCCCAGGTCCCATCTCTGCTGTGAAGTCTTTCCTATTCAGGGAAACACGAAGCACTCTCACCCTGTGACTAGGAAAGAAGGTGCACCCTCTCTAACCTGACTCAGTGCTTCAGTGTTCAAGTCCAAACCTGTTTTAGGAAATTTTGCTTTTGTATTTTTCTATGTCCCACTTGATGTCTTTAAAGTGACAGTGAGCTTTGTACTGTTGTGGATGTCAGCTACCTGCCGAAGGACTTGTTTGGGGGAAAAATTAGATGAACATTAAAGGAGTTTGAAGATGCAAGAAAGGTGGAAAAGAGAGGAAACATTCTGTACTACAAACACCTACTAATAAAAAAATGATCTGAAAAAAATCAAACTTAAAAATACAATGGACCCTTCACTTACAGTTCCTGAGGGCTTACAGTGACTCTCAGTTCTCAAGGGCCAGTTAGAACTCAAGTTGGTTGTAAATCAATACAGCTGAGATCTGGATGTTTACCTGGGTACACACTGTAGGTAACGAGGCAGATGAATCTTCCATTAAACTAATTAACCCAAGTTGTCTGTATGTCAGGCTGGTTGTAACTCGAGGGCTCACTGTACCTGTATTGATTTATACGCTGTATTCTGTAGAAAACACAGAGTTCTGTGCAACCGTCTGTGGAACTTGAAACTGCAGGAGGAAGTGGGGTCTAACTCTATAGGTACCTCTCTATACAGGAGAACCAGAACAGTTTATGTCTGTGGGCTCTGTACAAGACTTTGTTGTAAAATACCATCCGAGCTCTAAAAAGCTTCCATTTTGGAGGATGTGCTAAGCGATGGTGATCTACAAACTGAGCAGTGTGGGATTCTTGCATGGGATGCTCAGGTGCAAGGAGCCAAAATCCGTATCTGATCAGCGTCTGATCAATTGCTGCAGAGGCAGGAAAGTGCCAGAAAAAGAATTTATGTTGTCTACTTCATCAGGCATTGCTATTTTAATTACTTTTTTTAAATTTTAGGTCTTCAACTCTGTAAAGGCCACCCTTGATCTTTCTGTTTTTAGAAGTCGAATTGTACTAGAAAGCTTGATAATGGACCTGAAAAAGAAAATCCCGAATTTGAGCTTCAGTCCTTTGGAACCTAATGGAACAGTCACCGTGAAAGGATCATTTCTGGCTACCAAGAGGCTCAGTGAGTCTTTGCTATCAAAAGCAAGTTCCCTGTTCGAAAAAAACAAACATTTTATCAGTGAGGCGAGAGAGTGGAGTAGACAAAGCTCCCAAAGGAGTCTGCAGAGGAGTGATAACTTGATGCAGACGCCGAGGACCTCAGTTCCCGAGACCTCTAAGAGGGGAGAAGTGCTTGTGCTTGATACAGACGTCTTCCTTTACCTGAAACATAAGTATGGAGTTTATGAAACCACACTCAACCAATACCATATTCTAAGCCGGGAGAGGGTGGATGGTGAAGTTACCACCATTTGTCTGAATGCTCCAGTTGGTTTTCAGCCAAGCAATGTACAACATGTGAGAGAACTCATTGAGCAATGGTCCCAGGCTCTTTCCTTTGAGCTCAGAAAAGAATCTTTTATTTTTGGAGAAAAGAAAAATAGCACAAAAAGAAATATTGAATGGGCATGTGACCAACTACGTACAAGATACAGTAAGGTTCTGATTAATTATTATAGGACACACGTTGACATTATAGGATCTTCTTCTGACACATACCATTTTAAAAATGAAGTTATGAAATTAGTAGGGCGAAAGGTTAGTTAATAGAATCTCAGTCACAGTAATGATAGTAGTTGCTTTCTCTTTTTGAGTAGTGACAATGCCATGAATAATGTAAGCTTGATGAACGTTATCTCATTTCATCCTTACTGACCAGTTTTAATTGTGAGCATTTTTATGTTGTAGAGGAAGAAACTAGGATTTAGAACAGTTAAAAATCTTGTCCAGGGCTGGGGATTTAGCTCAGTGGTGCTGCGCCTGCCTCACAAGCACAAAGCCTTGAGTTTGATCCCGGGAACCACAAACAAACAAACAAACAAAAAAACCATCTCTTCCAAAGTTATTCATCTGACAAGAGTTAAAGCTAGGACTTAACCCAGTCTAATTAACTACAAAGATAGTATCTAAATAAAACTTTGAAAAAAAAATCTCACTAAAATTTGAAGAAATCTTATTTTCTCTGCAACTATAATATAAGTGTTTTGGTTGATTATTACTATGCCACTGGTAATTTCATAGCATTTACAAAATTTGCATTTATTCCATATAGAATTAGAATGTTGGCAAAAATCACTTGCATTTGTGATACTGCTTTATTTAGCCTATGTGCTTACATAAAAATGTTAGATCTGTTATAATTTGAGGACTCGAAAGAAATCTATAGGGTTGCTATAACAGATGCTCCTTCTATGATAGGGTTACATCCCTTTGTAAGCTGAAAATATTGTATATTAAAAGTGTGTTTTAGTACATGTGACTGGCTGAATGTCCTAGGTTAGCAGCACAGCCAAGCGTAAAGTATGGGCTGTTTACCTTTGCAGTCAAGTGGGTGATAGAGCTGACTCCTTGCCACTGCTTCCTGTCCCTAGAGACTTGGACAGCACATTCCTAGCCTGGGGAAAGATCAGAACTCCAAATTTAAAGTGTAGTTTCTACTGCATGCATGTATATGCGTGCACCATTTTAAACTCAGAAATCCATAGAAAAATTGAATAAATTGAATAATAGCCAAGCCAAGGGCCGTCTGTATTCTTAGCATCCATACATTTATTTAAACGCTGTTACTGTAGCAATTCAATTATAAAACAAAGAAAATAGAAAATAAACCCCTCACAATAATTTACTTAAACCTCTATGTCTGCCTGGAATTTAGTTTCAGATTAAACTGATTTTAAGTATTTGAGGCACTTCAGAGATCTCCCTAGTTTAATAACTTCTGAAATACTGCTACTTGCTTGGCGTCTCTGCTTACAGAAAATGTTAGTCCTCCTGTTATAATTATGAGAACTTTTGAAAACAATCTGTCTCAAAGTAAACACATATGATTATGATTATCTGAACTGTTTGTCCCAGTAGAAAAGCTGTGACAAACCTGTCTGTATATTTTCAGTTTTCCTAGCCACCTAAAACTAAATAATTTCGATTTCTATTTCCTGAAATAGTGTATTTCTGACACCAGAAGCACAAGCAACAAAAGCAAAAACTGACTAATGGTTTTACTATATCAAACTTAAACACTTGTGCATCAGAGGATATGATCAGCAGAATCAAAAAAGAGCAGATTCATTCAGGTCAGGCTGCTATTACAGGAACCCCACTGGGTCACTTAAACAGCAGCTATTTATTTATCACAGTTCTGGAGGCTGGAAGTCTGAGAGGAGAGTTCAGCTAGGGTTGGGTCATGGAGAGCCCTGATCCTGAAGCCTAGAGAAAGGAAAGGAGAAGAAGTGCCCTCTCCTGCTCCTAATTCTTAGAAGGGAACTAATCCTATCATAAAGGCTCTACCCTACTGACTTAGTTTCCTCCCCAGGTTTCAGCATAGGAATCGCGGGAGCTCACAAACATTTGGTCCATGACCTTGTTTCCCTGAATTCCTCCAGAATTCATGTCCTTGTCAAGTGCCCCATGCATTCATTCCATCCCAACAGCCCCAGACATCATCTCCGATAAAGTCTAACATTTAAAGTTTAATCTAAATCAGATGTGAGTAAGACTCAAGTACAGTTCAGTCTGGCAAAATTCCTGTTCTAAAAGGGAGGAAAAGAAGCGAAGGAAGAGCCAAGCAGGTTCAAACTTGGCAAGATGAACTGCATGAGATCTTAAAGCTAGAACGTAATTTTCAGTGTGTTCCTCTGTGCTTCAGGTCACCACATACAACCCTTCACCAAAAAGCAAACCTAACTGTGACTTGACCTTGGGGGTTCCTGGCTTCCGGAACAGAGAGGAACACATTTCCCCTGCGTGTTAGCCATCTGGTGTGTCCTTTTGTTATTTCAGTCTGTGACTAGGACAGAAGCAGAGAGCACAGTGAAGCAGCTACAAACCAAGGAACAGCAAAGGTTTCTGGGAACCACCAGAAACTGGAAGAGCCAAGGAAAGAGGCATCTCTGCTGACACCTTGATTTTTTAGATTATGGTTTCTAGAACTGTGAGAGAATACATTTCTGTTGTTTTAAACCACCAAGCTTGTGATAGTTTACATGGCAGCCCAAGAAAACAAATAGAGCTGCCTTTCTTTCGACGTATCCCTGGGGGCCTCCACCCTTGCAGATGGTTTTGGGTGTGAGCCTCTGTGGACACTCCCTCAACTCCCTTCTTGAGGGTGGGGATTTTTCTTTCTTTATCTTATTCATCCCTAGTTTATAACAGAACAACTAGCATATATTTGGCATTCCACAAATACTTCTGAAATATATGAACAAATTTTATAATTTAATACAGGGCCTTGCACTTAATAAACATCTAACTAATGTGTGTGTGGTCCATGAATTTCATTTTTTGGTGCTGTCTAGTCTTTCTCCTTGTCGACATGACAATACAGATATTAGTTTCTTACTCCTTTATTGAAATGCATCTGCATTTCCTACTCGCATTATTTTCTCCAGTGTAGGAAATTCTCTAGAGACTATTTCTTTTTTCTTGTCTAACAGGTCAACCAGTAATTTTTCCTGGTTGAAGGGCACAAGGCATCTTCCCTGGACTTGCTCGGAGTGGCTCTCTCCATTGCCTGTCTCTTGGCTGGGTTTTACAGTGAGACGAAAATACCTTGTGATGCAATTTGATAATTATGAAGATTTTGGTGATTGTCAGTTGTAAGAGGCCATTAATGCTTGACATATTAAAATGTTTTAGTCAATAGAAAATAATATATAGTATGTATAAGGATGTGAAAACTGTCCTGCAGTTAGTATATTTTCAGCAGTGCTGACAAAAGCAGTAGGAGCAGAATATGTTGCCATCTCGCTTTGTACGAAATTCAACATTGGAGGAGATAGGCCTAGTTTATTCTATGGACTTAGAAGTTATAAAAATATTAAAGAACAGAGACCTCCAGAGGTGGATGAGAAGATTTATATATTATAAAAGAATGTGTGTTTCTAAGTTTTTTTTTTTTTAGAAATCTGTTTAAAAAAAATAATAAGCAGGCTGGGAATTTAGCTCAGTGGTTCCTCTGCCTGGCTGCCTTGCAAGTACAAGGTCCAGAGTTTGATCCCCGGTGCCAAAAAAAAAAAAAAAAAAGCAATTTCATGAGGAGAATAAAAGGTAAAAATATAAGAAAGTAACATTTTCCAGGGATATATGTGTAGGTTGTGAGGAATGGAGTGATTTGCTTCAATGATGATAGTTATTTATGCGTTAACTGTCTAAACTTTATTAAAAATGCCTACTCTTCTTCCTTCTCCTATAAGCTGCTTCTCTGTAAGGGTGAGAATGCCACATTTTTCTTCTCTCATTCTACAAACTGCCTAGCAGTTTAGATTCTGTTACCACACCATCCCTTGTATTTGTTTCTTCTTTTTCATCTTCTGTGACACTGATTAACATGTCCTTCTATTACTGCAGTATTCTCACTGGCCGTCCTGGCCCAGGTGTACTCCCACAAACTTAATTCACCCTGTGTACTATCAGAAATTAATGTATCTGCAATGATTAGATGTATTTGGAAGGGTTAAACAGACTGCTGTTGTTAACTGTCCTACCCTGAAAATTCATGGCAACATTTATTCTTATATTTTTTGAATATGTATTTTCTGAAAGGTACAATTTATTCATAACACTGGATAGGGGGCCAAGGAGGCCTCTCTGAAGAGTAGATGGGGACCTCAAATTGGACTGGGCAGGATCTTGACTTTGCTCAAAGAAAAGAACTTTGGATGCATCAGTGGGAGGAATAAGCAGATTTACTAGGCAGAGTTAGTAATCAAGGGGAAGAGACATCAGTTTGAGGAGCTGAAGCGGGCACAGCGCTGATGAAAATCAAACTGGCCGAGTAAAGAAGTGAGTGCAGTATTTAACAGGTTGCTGAGGTGGGTTAGGGTCTGGCTGATCATTATTTCAGGTTCGGTTTTGCAAGACGGCTCTGGGGAAGTCCTCAGAGAACAACCTCTATTTGAGGCAGTCTCAGTTTTGTGAAAGCTCTTCTGGAATCTAAGGAGACTTTGTAGGCACCCACTGGTAGTCAAATGTCCCTGTGAATTATTTCATCTTAAAGTACTCAGTCTTGAGGGGGTTGAGATATGTTAAGTAAATTTAAGGCTAATTAAATTTAAGGCTAATCAACCTTATATTGCTATTTTTAAGCCAGATACTCCTTAACACAGAGAGCTGAGCAGACTTATGACCAAAAAGTTTTAAGATAACAAAGGAGACAGATACAAAATGACAGCAAAGATTCTAAGCTTTATCCTGCTTTTAATTACCTATTGGACATAATTAGGCCTAAGTTAAGAGAAAGCAGCTAAATCAATCACTTTCCAGTTGCTGGGAAAAAATACCTGACACCCACAATTTAAAGAACAGAGTTTGTGTGGTTTTTTTTTTTTTTTTTTGCTAAGAAGGACAGAAACAGGAAGAAGCTGAAGTTAAGAATATACCTGCGTGCCTTCTCCTCATGACCAACCTCTTCCAACCAGGCCTCACATTCTAATAGCACACTTAACTATGAACTCACTGAATTGATCCACTGATGAGTATAGCATGATCCCAGCAACTTCCGAAAGTCTGAACACATGAGACTTGGGACATTTTATATCTAAACTGTAAGATTCCACCTTGGCCCCAAAACGCTCATGTCCGTTCATTATGCAAAATGGATTTAGTTCATCTCTAGGATTGCCAAAGTCTTAATAGTTTTAGCTATGCCCAAAAGTTTGAGTCCAAAGTCTCTTCTCAAACTTAAAGCAAATTCTTATCTCTAAGCCCCTTTAAAAATAAAAAAAAGTAAATTCTTCCAACATATAATTGAACAGGGTAGATGTTCCCATTTCAAAGCAAAGGAATGGGGGCACAGAGAAGAATCAGACCAAAGCAAGATAAAAAACAAGTAGGGAAAACATTTAAGCACCATGTCCAGCATCTGGGATACACAGTGGCAATGTGTGATCTCCAAACCTCTCATGGCCTCTTTTTTGGGCTGACTCTGCTCTCTATCTGCAGGATGCTCCATATTTCTGGTCTCTTGCATCCTTGGCATCACTTGTATAGCTTCAAGTATCATTCTCCCAGGAGCACATTGCCTGGCCTTCCAGGCCTTCTGAAATTTAAGTGAAGTCTCTATGATTCCATAACTCTTTTATTCTGCTATGCCTCCAGAACCAGCACCATGTATCTGATACCAAGGTCTGCTGCTAGCTTAATCACCTGGCTGAGTACCTGAATTCAGTGGCTGAACTCAGGGGTACACTTTCCTACGTGACCTTGAGTAAATAGGGTACCCTAGAGCTCTCTTCTCCAGTCTTTTTGTTTGTTTGCTGAGACAGAGTCTCACTATGAAGTTCAGACTGGCCTCAAACTGACTGTTTTGCTCAGGTTGGACCCAAACTCACAACAATCCTCCTGCCTTAGCCTCCCAAGTGATGAGATTACAGGTGTGCACCACAAGCAAAGTCTTTTCAAGGAGTTTACAGCTTTGAACCTGCAGTGGGTGGGATCTTGCCATTTCCTGAGATTCCCTGAAGATGTCTTCCCTGTTGTTCTGATGCAAAAACATTTGGTTTCTTTTTAAAGGTACTTATATTTTCAACTACCATATTCTCTTTGCCATAACTTTACATGCATTTTCTTTTTTGCCAAATGGCAAAGCTTTAACCCTTTAGCTCTTCTTTTGGTCCTAATTCTCATTGTGAATCTCACTAAAAAAGTACCCATAGTACTCATACCACAGTCTGAACACTGGGCTACCATGATATTGCTCCATTGGGTTGTTTTGAAACTTCCTTTGCCAGATCAATTAGTCTGACGCCTTTAAATTACACTGAGTTTTAGGACACAAGAAAAATGTAAACAAGTTCTTTGCCAGAATGTGACTTGAATGGACCCTAGTCCAATGTTCAATAAAATCCTCATTCTTATCTGAAAACTCATGAGCCTCTCCTTTACTGTCCACATTCCTATCAGAATTCTGGTCTTCTGAGTGCCAATCAGAATTGCCTGTGAAGATCTGCTTATAGTACTCTAGGTCTTCTCTAGCTCACATTTCCAAACGTTCCCAAACTCCCCCCACAAACCAGTTCCAAAGGCTTCTAAATCATGCCATCAGGTATAGTCACAGCAATAATCCCACTTCTTTGGCACCAATTTGTTTGCATTAGTTGCTCTCTTATCACTTTTACAAAATGGCTGGCATCACAATTTAAGTAGAGGTTATTTTGGGTCACACTGTGAGGTTTTGGTCCACAGTTGGCTAGATCCAAGGCATAAAGTCATGGTGGCAGGTGTAGAAAAGGAAGGATGCTCATCCCATCACAGCCAGGAAGAAGGAGGAGGAGGAGGAGGAGGGGGAGAGAAATTAGGTGGGGATAAGAAATATATACCTTTTCAGGTTATGCTTTCCAGTGGCCCACTCCTTTCAACAGTCACTATCTCTTTAAAGCACATTCAGCTCTGAATTTATCAATAGATTTATGATGACTAGAGTACTCTCATGATCCAGTCATCTTCTAAAAGCCCTACTTCTGAGCACAGAAGACTTGGAGGATATTTTAAATCTGTAGCAGCTTTTATATCCCTGACTACCTTAGAAGAAACAAATGAAGCTTTTATTGAGAAAAAAGTTAAGTGCCTGAGAATTTGTCCTCTGCCTCTCTGTGATGATCCCCAACAGTTTTATTTTTTCATATAGTTTATTCTTAGAGATACTATAGGAAGAGTATCCTGGCTTTAATGATGCACCTGATTTTTGAGGTTAGTCAAATTTTTTCAGATAGAAGAGAGTATACTATATTTTTGATGTATAGCGGGTCCTGAGTTGGTGCTGAGGAATGCAAGTGTTATTTGTCCCCATGGAAGTCTCTAATTCTATCTCACTGATGCGCATAAAAGATTTAGTATTTTTTAATATGTTAACTGATAGTTTCTGGTTTTTAAATGCCTGTTTCTGGGTGTGAATAAGTTTCTTTTTATTCACCTTCTAAGCTAGTAAGCATCATTACTACACTGGCAATCTTACGTAGCAGGATGTAGATTATGTGATCATCATGTGTAGGAATTGAGGGAGGGGGTTTTGTAGCTTGATAGGTCTGAGATTGAATTTTAGCAGTACTGCTTATTGACTTATGGTTTTGTGATTTAGGTTTTCATATATATAAAATGGAGATAGGAGTTATGACCTTGTAAGTTTTTTTTTAAATATAAGATGAAGTCCTCAGCTTGGGGCTTCACTGTTTGTAATTGAAGGTGACCATTTATCTTGTTTCTGTCAGTCACAAGATAGAATGTGACACAGTTCCCAGT